GTGATATTTCAGTTTTTCTTTTTTAATAAATCTGCAAAAATGTCAACGATTCTGTGTTTTTCTGTCAATATGGGGTGCTGTGTGTACATTAATGAGGAAAAAAAATTAACTTAAATGATTTTAGCAAATGGCTGCCAAAGAGCAAAGAGTGAAAAATTGAAGGGGGTCTGAATACTTTCCGTACCCACTGTATATATATATACTATATATATATATGTATATAATATATATATCTTGATACAGAAAGCATAAAAATGTAGATGCATCAGTTCTGCTGCAGGATGACTTCAGAGTATTTAAATTAACAAATTGTTATCAATATATTAATACTAATACTATTTTATTAATATATTATTACTATCTCATTAATATTAGGGCTTAGGCTATTTGTTCCATTGTATTTCTTTTTCCACGTTTTTACAGTGTTGCGCTTTATAACCAATCACACAGGATTATGCTGAGTTTATGAATGCAATGGCCAATCAGAGGCGTTCAGATGAGTCATTGCTGAAACAGCTGTGTTTTGCGGTTCAGTGCACACTGACTGAATTCAGCTCTCTCATGAATTCTCTCATCATAAACAACAAAGTGCAGATGTACATGCGATGTAAGTATAAGAGATTTATTCATCATAGAGTGTAGACGGCTTCACGGATTATAAAGGGAGTGTTTTTTAAAGTGCATATACTCGCGCTAGACTCAGTGATGGTGTGCTTTGGTAATGTAAATGTTCTTTGCTCGTTTTCTGTAGCTGCTTTTTGAATAACTGGGGAAATGTAAGCCTTATGATTAGTAACTTATAATGTTTCTATTGAACTGTTATCATGTTAAAAACAAATTCAGTCACATTAAAAACATTAGGCTGTTTTTAGCCTTACGCTGGAGTTGGTTCCATTTCCGGAAATAAAATCAAGTAAATAAATAATTAAATAAATTTGCACAATAATATCGTGTATTGGCGATCTCACAGGCTGACGATATGACAATATGAAAATTGAGCATATCGCCCAACACTATTTTACACAACGTTTTTCACAACATGAACATGGAGAAATTATATATTTAATTAATATTTAAATTTAAATGTACCATCTACAATACTTTTCATGGCTATACACCAATATATTACAGATAATTAAAAAAAAATTTACACAAAGAATTTGCACTCAGAAATAATTACAAAGAATCAGCAAGTAACACACTGAACTTTTAAAGTCGAAAAACTTAAATCGTATTTTCTTGTAAAACAGTCTTTTTTATTTACAAGTCTCTTTTAAAAATGTTTAATGTTTAATTAAAACACCATAAGGACACCTTCAAAGAACTTTTTTAATTATGACGCAAGCAATTATTTGACTGATTAGTGGATATTGAACATCATCTGGCCCTGAAGAGCTGAGGTGAGGTAACGCAGATAACTTACTCTGGTCTGCACAGTTCTTGGTCTTGAGCTCCATCTGTCTGGTTTGAGCCTCCAGCATCTGCACACGGCTTTGTAGATCTTTCTTTTCCTGCTCTTGAGAATCTTCATACTCAATATATCTCTAGAGGAGACAGAGAGAGATTTTTCACACTGAGATATTGTTCCTAACGTTTTGAAATAAGTCTACTTGAGCTCAACAAGGCTGCATTTACTTGGCAAAATACAGAAAAAATATTTTGAAATAATTACAATTTAAAATAACTGTTTTCTATGTAAATATGTGGTAAAACGTCATTTATTTCTGTGATCCAAGCTGAATTTTCAGCATCATTACTCCAGTCTTCAGTGTCACATGATTCTTCAGAAATCATTCTAATATGCCGATTTGTTGCTCAAGAAACATTTCTGATTATTATCAATGGTTGTGCTGCTTCATATATTTGTGGAAACCGTGATACATTTTATTTTTCAGGATTCTTTAATGAAGAGAAAGTTCAAAAGAACAGCATTTATTTGGAATAGAAATGTTTTGTAGCATTATAAATGTATTTACTGTCACTTTTGAGCAATTTATTGCATCCTTGATGAATAAAAAAAATAAATAAAATAAGTGGGGTTTTTTTGTTTCTTTGTAAATCATTTTTTATTTGTATTTAAGAAATAAAAATTAGACTTGCTAAACTCCAATATGCATGGTCAAAAAAAAAAAAAAAAAAAAGGAATTTCAAACATCATTTCAGCCACTTACTCAGCGTTTTTGGACAGCCGCACAAGCATAGCTCACATGGGATGAGACTATCATGCACAAACAGCAGGGTCAGGCCTCTGGAGCGCATAAGAGTCAAGTGAAAACACAAGGTCAACTCAGCAGTCAGTGGCATCCGAGTGGGATGTGAAGTAGGGGTCATTTCTATAATCAACTCTTTCTGCTGCTAGCAGAGACACAAAGCTGAAATCCCAGCAGTGGCTGGAGTCTAGAGGACCAACAGCTGCTGGAAAGTTTCAGCACATCTGATCAGAGAGCCAGTGACTCAGAGCGGACGGCTGCCCGGCTTACTCATTCCTATTGCACTCTTTCATATGCCAAAGATGAACACGCCAGTGATGGGCGAGGCCTGTGTGTACGAGGGCAGCTGAAAGGATTTCCCCTCCTTCCAGACTCCAAACACACAGCATGTCCTCACCTCTATTGTTAGTTGTCACCCAAGCCCTGCAGCAACACGGTGCAATGGACCACAACACTAATAACTGTGCTAACCGCCATTGTTTGTGTTTGCCGTGTGGGTTGATGGGGGTGCAAGTCCACGGGCAGAACATTAAAGGTGCACTAAATGGTTTTCTATATAAAAAAAAAAAAAATGTATTTTTGACAATTAACATCCTCCAAAAAATATCCAGCCGTTGTTCACTGAGGAGCTGCGCAAAAAATCGCGCGAATATGAACGTGGTTTTGCGCAACTCATCAGTGAACAACGGCTCTGTGTAGTTAATGCTGCTCAATGTGAAAGCCCGCAGGTGATGGAGATTTACCGCTGATTATAGAACCGGCTTTACTGACAAGATGCGCATTAAATATCGCACAGATGCGCATTAAATATCGCATGCGATTTATCGTGCAGCCCTAATATATATATATATATACACACACACACACGTATATACATACATACACACACACACACACACACACAATATACAATTTTTAATTACAATATAAGGCATTTGAAACACTTAAAACCCTGGTGGTCTTCCATTTTGACCAAAAAAAAAAAAAAGAGATCAAAATGGTTAAAACTCTTGATTGTGGAAAATGAAAAATGATTGTGGACACGATTAGAAAAGGCTAAATATTCTTTAAAAAAAGACCATCTTCATGGTCAAAAATCATACCGCCATTGGAAATGAATGGGAACGTCTAAATACATATTCAAATAAAAAAACACAAAAGTAATTATGTCTGAAAACACTCTCACAGCACATCATACTACACAGCCCTATGTATACATATAAACTTTGCAATTTATTAACAAACACTATTAATTGAAAATTGTATAAAATATATTTTCTTATATTTGTATTTTATATAGAAATAAATGTTGCAAAATTATGAGGTGAATATTGTCTATGAAATCCCTTTAAAATACAAAATATTAAAGAATTAATATTAATACAACAGAATATAGTACTTTATTTTTATTTTTAAAACAAGTTCCTCTTTTTCTTTCTATTTTGCCCACTGTGGATCACTTAAGTTAAGAATACTAAAGGGTTAGCAGCAGCAGAACAACATCTTATCATGATCATCCCTAAAAATGTGAAGCACATACATTTATCAGCTCAAAGCTTTTAATTTTGTTCATCAAACCTCCGAGTCTGTGCTGCAGCTCACATGAGTGTCTACCTGATGATATTATCAAGCCATCGCCTTAAACTTCACACAGACAGAAGTGTATTCTGTTGCTGATAAAAGCCGTTATGTGCTGCAAGCCCCGGGACATCAGAGTCCTGACGCATGAGGAGCATCTTATGATCTCAGAGCTGCAAGTCAACACGTCTTCACTGCGAAACCTCTGACTGAACTATGAGAACCCCTTAACCTCCTACCACCACTCACAAAATTCATGTGATGACAAATATAGCTAATATTTTACTGCAACACATTTACAACTACAACAAGGCTTGCAAGACTTAAATCACTATAGTTACTTGCTTGTGCATAGATGCAGTTATAGATATACATCAGTTTTGTTAGTAGTATTTTATTTAAAATAAGTGACTTAATCTATTATTTAAAAGTTTGTGGTCAGTTGCATTAAATTTAACAAAAGTGACAGTTAAGACATATTAACATAAATATAAGAAAATATTTTTTTCTAATAAATGCTGAACTTTCTATACATCTGTGTATCCTGAAAAATAAAATGTATTACAGTTTCCACAAAAATATTTGGCAGCACAACTGTTTCAACACTGATAATCAGAAATGTTTCTTGAGCAGCAAGTCAGCATATTAGAATAATTTCTGAAGATCATGTGACACTGAAGACTGGAGTAATGATGCTGAAAATTCAGCTTTGATCACAGAAATAAATTACATTTCACAATATATTCACATAGAAAACAGTTATTTTAAGGTGTAATAATATTTCATCATTTTATTGTATCTTTACCAGATAAATGCAGTCTTTCAAAAACATTACCAACCACAACATTATTTTATATATACTTAAGGCTAATTACTGTATTTATGCCACCTCTAAAGTCAAAAATCTCTACGTAAACCTTGTTGCAAGAACAGTTTCTTTATTATGGAAATTCTCGTCAGTCTGCATGTGGGCCATCATTAATCAGGGCAGCGATCTGAGGTCTTATAGGTAACACCACACATCTGCACTGAAACAGAAACATCAGCCATCATATGACTGCTTATGAATTTCCATCTGAAAAACTACCGTCATACGTGAGCAATACACCAATATCATTCAAATACTGATGAAAAGCAAAGGTGATCTAGATTTCAAAAAGCATAATTGGCATATGAATGTCTTCATTATAACAGAGTGGCTTTAAAGGGGTCATATGATACGATTAAAATTTTTCCTTTCTCTTTGGAGTGTTACAAGCTCTTGGTGCATAAAGAAGATCTGTAAAGTTGCAAAGACTAAAGTCTCAATCCAAAGAGGTATTCTTTATAAAAGTTAAGACTTAAGCCCTCCTAATAAATAATGTGTTTTTTGAACCTTAAACTGCATAAACACATTGCATTACACCAAATACACAACATAATGTTATTTTTAGCAACATCATATGACCCCTTTAAAACACTTAAGGGGAAGTCACTCACTGTGGAAAGTAAGGCTACACGACAACTGTTAAATGGTTGGTCACAAACGGATGGTTATTGTCATTTAGTCGCAGCAAACGGCAAAACATATTGGTTGTATTACACTTTTATTTAAGCAGAATATGATCTCAATCCAAACTTACATGTTTGCCGATGTTTTCAGCTCATCAGCGTTTTTTTTCCATAATGTAGAGAGAGCATGTGCACATGGTTGCCAGGTTGGGAAGATTAAGTAATCCACTGGGCAGAAAATGTATCGATTTATTAACAAAATATTTAAATGCTTGACATCTGGCAACCATGAAAGCTTGCAGAGGCTCGTTATCAATGCACGCAAATGCCATATTAAAATGAAACCATTTCAGAATAAATAGCCAATGGTAAGACATCGCAGGCGATTATGGTAAATAAATCGCGAGAAGCAGAAATCGTGATCACGATTAAAAGACGATTCATCATGCAGCCCTAGTGGAAAGGATGCCAAGATGGATTATGCAGGTCAGAAATAACATGCACAGTTTGTATGGGAAATGCACAGACTTGTGACTGTAGTAGTAAACTGGAGCAAAATCTAATATAAGAGCATTAGCGGCCAGAGAACAGGGGTCTGGCTTTATAAAGACACATTTTAAAACACACATAATAGACTTGTTCTTCTCCTCTACACGACAGGTCTGATGTTTGTCATTTCGAAGGAAGTCCTTATGCACGACCATCTGACAGAAAGCCACTTTGAAAAGTCTGACAGCGACTGAAGCACCACAGGCTTGTGAAAGCATCCGCGTTCATCATATGATCCGGAGGACAGCGCTCACATGACAGCTGAGCAGAGGAAGAGTGTCTGGCTGCATACAGACTTCAGGCTCTCCGCTCCACATAATATCCCCATTGTGCCGTCATAGATAGAGGCTGCTGTGTAGCGCCACTCTATTGATAGAGCTCTCTTTAAGTCAACTGCGCTTTCATTGCACTTCCTCCGGGGCTCAGAGCCATCGCTCATAACGGCCACGAGATACACTGTGCTAGCGGGGTTTCGCTCCGAGCGCGGGAGCTCCTCGCTTCGGTTATGAGCTGAGCGTTATGCATGGATTAGTTTGCTCTGAACTGGGTTAGGCAGAGTCACATGAGGTCAGGCATGGACAGGGTGATAAATCTTGCAAACATACATTAAAAAGGCAGCGAGAAATGCTTAAATCTGGAATAAAATGCTTCCTATCAATGGCCGTCAATGGTGGTCCTCCTTAACATTGTCTTTAAGAAAATCTGCATATGTGTTT